ACCCCCATCACCCACCGCCAGACCAGGCCCAGGAGTGACAGGCAGTGGGGGTCGGGCAGAGGAACCTGGGGAGGAGGGGGAAGGGTGGCAGAAGTTGGGGGTCAGGGCCATCCCCCAATGTAGCCGGCCCTTCCCGAAGGTGGGGCTGGGAGGCCCGGTGTTTTCCTGTGAAGGTTCAGGGTTAGGGTTACGGTTAGGATTTGAGTTTTCTTGTGAAGACTCTGGACTCCCAGCCCCATCCTCGGGAAGTGCCGTTCCTTCCTTACAGACAGATGTCCACCCGTGGGGACCCTGGGAGCCCTGGCTGGCTCCCCCGCCCCTAAGCCTCGCCTCGTTCCTGTCCTGGGTGCCCTGCCCTTGTAGGTGGAGCACCAAGGCCCGGCCAGAACCCACAGAACCCACGTGCATGTGCTAGGAGCCGCCCCCCGGGCAGGCAGGGACAGGACAGGACAGCAGGGGCGGCCTGGGCAGGTACGGGGGACCCCCACTTCCTGTGTACGTACGGCCCCCTGCAGGGGGAGGGGCTCTGTCCCAGCCGCCCACCCCTGCCCACCGCCCAAGCCTGCCGCCTCTCAGGTGCCATGGGCCGGCATCCACCTCTCTCCTGAGGCTGTCGCTGGGCCAGGCTGCCCCGAAGCACCCCAAGGTGGCCCGTATCAAGTCCCACCTTGTGTGTCTGCAGGGGGCGGCTGCAGGTCTCCTGGGGGTTGGTGACAGCCAAGGACAGGAGGGGCTGGGCTGGTGGGGGGCTGGTGGACCCTGGGCCTGCTAGAGGGCTCTGGAGGGCACTGGAGCTGGGGCTGGACCCGCCCCCTCCCCTCACCCCACACGGAGGTGGGTGGGGCCTCAGGCTGCACTTTGGCCTCAGGCCGAGTCCCCTCCTGGCTGGTAGAGCAGGACACACCCAGGGTGCCCGGCAACCATCAGGGGTGGGCGCCGTCTCTGGGTGCTCTTGGGGCCTTGGCACAGAGGCTTCTGCCCTAGAGATAAAGGCACCAGAACAGGAAGGCGCAGGCCGAGGGGAGGTGGGATGTCCCCCAGGCCTCCCCCGTGTGCTGAGGGCCAGTGGCACTGCGAGAGTCCGGTCCTGGCTGCAGCCGCAGGGCGTCCTCAGCACTCAGGAGAGCCCGCTGGCCCTGCTCACTCAGCCCCTTCCGCAGTGAGGATGCCCAGAGCCAGGCTGCAGCCACGTCCTGCCCACCCCACACCGAGCCCATGTCCCTGCCAGCTCTGCCAGTTGCCTCAGCTTCCCATCCAGCAGGGGGGTGCAAAAGCCTCTGTTGGGGACCCTGGAGCAGCTGTGAGGGGCCCTGGGCCTGCGGGTTCAAAGCGGCACTGGCCGGAGCCAGCCCTGGGCGTCCATGCCCTGGAGGACGGCTGCACAGCACTGGGGGTTCCCGCTTGGGGGGATGTGACCCCCGGGATCTGCTGGGGTCGAGTGTGGCAGGTGCTTGAAGAACCAGAGGTGGGGGTATGGGCTGCTGGGGGTGGGGTTACGGCTGGCCATGCAAAGGCTCTTGGCCCCGGTGAGAGAGCAGGGCCGAGTGGGAGACAGTGGGAGCCAGGTGTCCCGACCACCCCAGGCAGGTCGCACCGGGGAAGCCCCCAGAATCCCAGACAACAGTTTCCTTCCCTGGCCCTGGCCTGGCTGCCCTGGGGTCTGCAGCCTCCGTGATTCCAGACAGACTGCTGCTAGGGGGGCAGGTGGCCCTGAAGAAGAGAGTCCCGAGAAGACGCCCGCCCCTGCTCCAGGGAGCCCAGAAAGCACCCGTCAGCAGGCCCAGCCAAGGACCCCGAGGTGACCACACCAGGCCTGAGGCCAGGAGCCCATTCTGAGGGGACGGCTGGGCCTCCCAGAACAGACATCACCATGGGCCACGAGCGATGGCAGGCGTGGGTACAAAGATGCCTGCAGCGGGGGCAGGCGGGGAGGGGTGCAAGGGCTGTGGCAGCAGGCAGCGGGGGGCGGCTAACCCACGCCAGTGGCGACCCAGGTTCTCGGAAAGCCGGGTGGGGAGATGCCCGCGAGAGCTTCAGACGGCAGAACCTGTATCCCTGCGACTGTCCAGGTTTATTTCTTCACAAAACAATGACACAGAACTGAAGGGAGACGAGAAGGTCACGATTCTCTGCCAAGTGATCAAAGCCAGAGGGACGCGCCAGTGCTGGGCGGGCACAATAAGAGGGACGCTTGGTACAGGCCAGAGACACGAGAAGCAGCCACAGCCTCATGCTGCCCGGGCCACGGAGAAGGTAGGAGGGAGCCGGCCTGTCGGAGCCCCCGTGGCCGCCTGCACCGGCTTCCATCACGAGTCAGCTGCAGAGGAAGGACCTGGGGGACACGGCTTCCCGAGGGGACATCCCTGTGACCTTCTGGGCGAGCGTTTGGCTGGGGAGGCAACTTAGCCCATGTGGGTTTATCCGTTTAGTGGAATTCCAGTAAAAGTCCAATTGTAACTATTTAGGTGAAATTCATATAACGTAGAATTTAGCACTGGAGAGCGAACGGTGAGTCCCCAGCACGACGCATTCCCGGCACTCTGCAGCCACCACCTCCGTCTAGCTCCAGCCCCCAAAAGGAATGTGCACCCTCAGCCGTCGCTCCCACTCCTGTCCATCCCCTGGCAGCGCTGTTCCTCTCTGGGTCTGCAAACTCCCGTGTTCTGGGCGTTTCGTGGAAATGGAATCACACACAGGCTCTTCGGTGGGGTGGATGGACCCCATTTCCTTATCCACTGTCTGTTGATTGACATCTGGGGCATGGCTACATTTTGGCTATTACGGATCATAGATAATGCTATTATGAACATTTCTGTAAAAATCCCTTTTTTTTTTTTTTTTTTGAGACAGGGTCTTGCCCTGTTGCCCAGGCTGATGTGCCGTGACGCAGTCACTCCCTGCAGCTCTGAACCCCCAGCTCAAGCCATCCCCCACCTCAGCCTCTCGAGTAGCTGGGAATACAGGTGCACGCCGCCATGCTCAACTAATCTTTAAATTTTATTTTGTAGAGATGGGGTTTCACCATGTTGCCCAGGCTGGTCTTGAACCCCTGCACTCAAGAGATCCCTCCAGCTTTGGCCTCCCAAAACGCTGGGATTGCAGGCATGAGCCACCACACCTGGCCCAAATTCCATTTTTTAAATTTTGTAAAAGCAGTGTTGAAGAGGATCTGGAAGAACGGATTCTAAAGAATTTTAACTCAGCTCAGTGCTGGGTGGAGACTCGCCCTATTAGATACCATGACACAGTGCCCACTCAGCAGAGACAGAGCTGCCAGAGCCCCTCGCCCGTAGAGAAGAAGAGGCCACCCCATATACCAGGAAGGCAGAGGCAGTGACAAGGAAGGCATATTTTCATTTAAAATTCATGTCAGGTGATAAGACAAATCTCAGTTGAATGAAAGAATTTTCAGTCATATAATCATTAGAAACATGTGGGACTGGCCGGGCGCGGTGGCTCAAGCCTGTAATCCCAGCACTTTGGGAGGCCGAGGCGGGTGGATCACGAGGTCAAGAGATCGAGACCATCCTGGTCAACATGGTGAAACCCCGTCT